TTGTTATATCTTACACAATTTTACATTCATAATTTGTTTTAAAGAAAATACCTTATTTTTTATTTTCATAAAGATGTTGATAGATATTTGAGTTCTTTAAAAAAAACTCTCAAAATTCACTTGCTTGTAAGACCTCAAAAGTGCAATACGTTTTAGTTCATTTAATACATTTCCTATAGTGTAATAATACTCGTATAATTATATTGTTTAGAATATTTTGTTTGTCTTTATTTCTGTAAATGAAAAAGAAAAATCAATACCTGCCACATATCTTTTGAGACCATTCATTTATACAAAAAAAAAAGTTTGTAAATCTATTTATTTAAAAACAATTTTTGGTTATGTCCGTTGTTATTTAGGAATGTTCATTTTTGTAAGAAGAAACGTCTTTTACTGTTGCCAAAATTATGTACTGAACTAATTTAGTAAACAAAAAAAAAACTTTTTAATTAAAAAAAACAAAATTAAAAGTTAAAAGTTAAATCAAACTGTATATCTAAACAGTTCTAATAACTATTAAAATGAATACAGTTTAAAGCTTTTTACGGTTACAAATTATTTTAGTAGTGTGCTGATAGAATATCTGTTTACATTGTAGCACATTTTTTTCTTAATGTGCATATTTTTTAAACGTGACAATATGCCCCAATAGCATTGTTGAGTTAAACTGTTCTTGTCTGAATGAATGTATGTGCTTGTTTCACAGCTATTACAAAAATAAAAAATAAAATAAATACAAATTTCATATAGTGTAATAATCCACTTATAATTGTATTGTTTAAAAAATTGTTTGTCTTTATTCGTGTAAATGTTGTATTTTCTGTTAATTTTGTTGCAAAATTAAAAAGAAAAATCAATATGTGCCACATATTTTGGAGACTGTCTATTTATATATATATATAAGTTTTAAAAAAAATCTTGGGGATGTTTTTGGTAAGAAGAAATATCTTTTACTGTTGCCAAAATTATGTACTGAACAATAGGTTACTTTACTAGTTACTTGAAAAGGTAATCTGATTATGTAACTCACATTACTTGTAATGCGTTATCACCATAACAACATTTTAAAGGGGTCCTATTATGCTCTTTTAGAAAGTCTTGATTTTGTTTTGGGGGTGTACTAGAACAGGCTCTCATACTAGGTAGTTCGAAAAACATTGTTTCACGTATTTTACATTATTACAACACCTCTCTCCTCAGTCTGGCATGAACGGCTTGAAGGCCCTGGTTCGCTGGGACGGAGCGTGCTGTGATTGGTTAGCTGGGCCAGTGCGTGCTGTGATTGGTTAGCTGGGCCAGTGCGTGCTGTGATTGGTTTGCTGGGCCAGTGCGTGCTGTGATTGGCAGCACTCGGCGCCTGCTCGGGAAATGTCACGCCCCTTACCATAGGGGCGTGACAAGACCTGCCAGCTTCAGTGTAAATATTGCTCAAAATCAAATCAATTTGAGTGCGATTTAAACCCGGATGATTGTAACCACTCTAAGTTCGTCTGCCTTGGGAAAGCTAGCGTGTCTCCGACATACCACTCGTTGCCTTCTCTAGTGCAGCTCAGCCAGGTCTCGTCCCATTCGTCAGTATTTGTGATATCACAAATCCCGGAAAATATGAGTTGTAGTCCAAACGAGTCGTTCGTTGTAGTTTTTGAAAAGTGATTTATGTTAAATAAAATATCTCCTTTTGAATTGGACTTTGAACTTTGTAACTTTGCAGATCTTTTTTATTCTCAAACAGCAACATTACAGACTAACTAAAGTTGAAAAAGTTAAAAAGCATAATAGGACCCCTTTAAGTAAATCAAACTGCATATGTCAATTCATATAATAAAATGGATACAGTTTAAAGCTGTTTAATGGTTGCAAATTATTTTAGTAGTGTTCCTATAGAATACATTTATATTGTTTCACATTTGTTTCTTAATGTGCATTATTTTTTAAACATGTGACAACATGCCCTAATAACATTGAGTTAAACAATAGGTAGCTGATTCCTTTCTGAATGCATGCATGTGTGGCCACTTGTTTCACAGCTATTACAGAAATAATAATAATAATAAAAAAAATAAAAAATAAATAAATAAAAATATGTTATTAGATCAAACAGAATTCACAAAATGTATCCAAGTTTTTCGTGTTCGAAACCATTCTAAAGACAACCAGATATGTAAATTCATATAATAAAATGAATACAGTTTAAAGCTGTTTAATGGTTGCAAATTATTTTAGTAGTGTTCCTATAGAATACATTTATATTGTTTCACATTTGTTTCTTAATGTGCATTATTTTTTAAACATGTGACAACATGCCCTAATAACATTGAGTTAAACAATAGGTAGCTGATTCCTTTCTGAATGCATGCATGTGTGGCCACTTGTTTCACAGCTATTACAGAAATAATAATAATAATAATAAAAAGAAAAAATAAATAAATAAAAATATGTTATTAGATCAAACAGAATTCACAAAATGTATCCAAGTTTTTCGTGTTCGAAACCATTCTAAAGACAACCAGCACTTTTGACACAAATCTTTGTAGCAACTAAAATAAAGCTTGTGACAACTTTCCCTGATCTCACAGTTACCATGGTGCTGAATAATTACATTATATACCATAGTATTCACATGGTCCTGTAAGTACTTTTGAAGAATGCTGTAATAATACCATTACGCTTTTTGTTTTCTTAATTATTTTCCCAGTTTCCTCATTCTCACACCACAATGGTATATTTGCTAGTCAAAAAACCCAGTGGAATGTGAAAAGGACTCTTTTCCTAAGGGGATTTATATCATAATTTGAAATCAATTTTCTATATCCTATTTTTATTTTTATTTTTTGTATGTTTAACAGGAACATTCCAAAATACACAAACAGAAAACTGGATCTTTTATAACACATAAATTATGGTCAGCAGCACAGTATAGGCTCCTGTAGTGTTTTTACCGCACTCACGCCGTGTGCATGGCTTTAAGCTCGCGCGCGAGGAATCTCGTCTCGTGCCGTGTCAAGCGCGCGCGGCGTCTCGCGCAGAAGAATCAAACGAGATTCTTTTAACACAGACACATGTTCCATTTTCAGGTAAATTTTGTCTTTTTTTTTTTACCAAGTGCATGTCGAAATGGCTCTTTTCAAATAGATTTAATCTGACAAGTGCTGTTTAGAAGATTTACATTTTTATGGAAAATTGCGGCTTTGTTTTTCGACACTACAAAATTGTTTGTGAGGCCTAACCATCAGTTTCCTCTGGTGTTGATATTGAACAAGCTGTAAAAGCTTCATGAAATCTATAACAGCCAACTGTCCTTAGCGAATACCCGCTGTTTTGAGTTCAGTGTGGCCCAGATGTGTGTTATTAAACCTTTGGCCTTGTTAGCATGTTAGCGAGGCCGTGCTAGTACATCAACTAACCGGGGCAATGTAAACGCACTGGGATCACTTTAATTTCCCAAGCTTTTTTATTTATTTCGTCACTCTGAGGATGATGTTTTCATGGCGAAAAGGTTTCTGTAAGATTGTTTTATCTGCAGTTTTCTGTAACATTAAATGATTCTGCACTTAGCAGTTTGCATACTCCGTATTGGGAACATGTATAAACTGTTTCTAAGGAGTAATGCATCTTTTTAGTTGTTAAAAGACCTAAATAATTAAGATTAAGATGTCCTCTACCACTGATCATGTTAGTTTTTGGTGAGCACAAGGACCATATTTTACCTTTGCATGTGGCTACAGCATCATCTTTCCTTAAGACCACAGTTTTCCACCTCCTTAAGTTCGATCCCCTAATTTATGACATGTTGAAAATGTATATATTGAATCTATGTTGCTTCTGTGTTATTTTGCAGTCTTTTGACGATGACTGCACCCTGGAGGAGGAAGGGTTGGTAGAGGAAGATGAAATTGACCAGTTCAATGATGACACTTTCGGTGCAGGGGCAATCAGTAAGTTTTTTTTTTTCCGGCAATCCTCACACCTGGACCCATGAATTTACCCAACAAAGCCTACTATATCACATTTGTGACCCAGGACCACAAAACCAGTCATAAGAGTCTTTTTTTTAATTAAAATTGAGATTTATACATCATCTGAATAAATAAGCTTTCCATTGATGTATAGTTTGCTAGGATAGGCCAATATTTGGCTTAGATACAACTATTTGAAAATCTGGAATCTGAGAGTGCAAAAAAATCAAAATATTGAGGAAAATCGTCTTTAAAGGTGCCATAAAATGGAAAACTGTATTTACCTTGGCATAGTTGAATAATAAGACCTGCACAGCCGAATCATCGATGCAGTGTTGCCAGATATTGCTATTAAAACAAACAAAAACCGATAAATAAATAAAAATAAACCAAAATTATTTCACATTTTTTGCTATTAAGATATTATTATTATTAACTTTCTAAAGTGTCAAAAAAGTGGAAAAGACAAGTCCAAAAACACTTATAACAGCTGGATCTCACTCACATCTCTCTCTCAAGCCTCGTTCACAAAATCTCTCAAAATCTGTATCTTTGTCTGATACAGACTCAAACATATATGGTTGGATGCCTAATCTCTCCATCGTTCACGCCGGACAGTAGAGATCTGTTTGCTGTGTGAGCTACTGAAATGAGCCGCGCTGTGAAACAGCCAATCAGAGCAGGGCTCAACATTATTATTCATGACCCTTCCAAATAAGGTAATAACAGACAGCGGCGGCTCGTCAGGGGAGGCACAGCTTCCACAAAATTGAGGTGAAAATGGGAGGAGGACGATTTAATGTTAATAAAATTCACAGTTCATTTCAGTTCATGTCTCAGAATGTGTATTTTTTATTTGTAATTTCACAGCTGTAATACCATAACTTGTTAATTAAAATTCACAATTCATTTCAGTTCATGTCTCAGAATGAGTATTTTTTGTTTGTAATTTCACAGCTGTAATACCATAACATGTTACTACATAACAAGTTGGAAAGCGTCGCTTTTCTATCGTGAATGTGCCGAATCTGCTGATGCAATTACAACCGCTAAATGATAGAGAAGGGGAGGGGAAGGCCGGGGGAGAGCTGAGCTCTCGTGCCTCCTTTGGTAAAAGAAAAAAAAAATTAGCCAATCACCATCGAGTGTTCACTTTCAGCGCTGAGGAGTGTTGAGAAAAGAAACCTTGCAAGGGAGGCTAGCCTCCTTCTGATATCAACCAATCATCACAGAGACGTAAATTACTTGATATTAGTTTGAATGTCTCCCGCTGCGCTGATACTGTACCAAGTACCAATGTCACAACAGGCAGCTCTCTTTTAACACAGACTTTTAAGAAGGGATGGATGTTTTCTTCAAGTGATAGGCCAGGAATTATATTATCTTGCTGTATGTGTGTCGTCGTCTTTACGTTTTCTGACTAATAGCAACCAAAAAGCCATTTTAAAGTGGTTAAGCAAATAATAATAATAATAATCGGCAGGGATCCCAGACCAATACAATTAGTGTGCCTCCTCTATTTTAAAACCCACGAGCCGCCACTGATAACAGACCATTTAATTCTAGGGACAAATTCTAGGGTTGTAAATGGACATGTAAAACCGTTTCTGGAGAATTTTTACCCTTACATAAGCCACATACTTTCTATGTAGATATCAGAGAACATTTAAAATATTGTATCAGTCCATTCTATGGCACCTTTAAAGTTGTCCAAATGAAGTTCTTAGCGATGCATATTGCTAATCCAAAATTAAGTTTTGATATATTTACGGTAGGAAATTTACAAAATATCTTCATGGAACATGATCTACTTAATATCCTAATGATTTTTGGCATAAAAGAAAAATCGATAATTTTGATCCATACAGTGTATTGTTGGCTATTGCTACAAATATACTCGTGTGACTTATGACTGGTTTTGTGCTCCAGGGTCACATTTGATACATGGATTTCTTAGGCCTCTAAATGACCAATGGTTAAAACTACTGAAAAACCTGTTGTACATAATCTACTACATGCAATTGATAGTTTGTACTTTTTAGCAAGTAAAAGGCGCTTTAGTGCAATTGTAAAAATTGTAAAGATTTTTATGAAGTAAACATAATAAGTTATGTTGTTATTGATATTTCACAATTTCAAGAACATAATTTATAGGACTAAGCAACTTACAAACTATGAAAATTTCATGTTACTTTTTGGTATAAATATTAGCAAGTGCACCAAATTGCATATTTTGCTGTTTAGGCCTCTGAATAAAATGTAAGTGTTTAAGTTTTCCTCCTCGAGTATAAATTTCATATTCTCACGAGTCATAGTTAGGGATGCACCGATAGGATTTTTTTTGGGCGATACTGATTTTAACTAGGGATGGGTCACGATTTTCGAATATTCGATTAGTTGATTTAATTATAGAATATTGAATAGGTTGTGCGATTATTGTCTTAAAAAATGTCCCCATGTTTTCATGTGGCGCTGCCAATAACGCACCTAAAAGCTGTCAAAGACAACAGAAGAACAAATTGTCTCATCCGCCCACTGTAGACTTGCGTGGCATAAAAAAAAACTTGCGTAGCATATAACGCTTACAGTAACTTGGGACGATGTCAAATAAGAGTTCTGTGCGGACCACAAACACCCC